TGTGTGTGTGTGTGTGTGTGTGTATGTGTATGTGTATGTGTTTGTGTGTGTGTGTATCCGCCACACATCCTACTCACACGAATTACCATTAGTAAACATTTCAGGCTAATAATCTCGGCTCAGCATCCCCGATTAAGTCTTCTCATCTTCGGTCTGCGCTTTCCCGGACTTCCAATCTGACTCTTGTATATCTCTGTGCATTTTGATCTGAATAACTGAATAACAGTCAGAATAATCAGTCAGATCGTCACCAGAAGACGTTTGGGAAAAAAAAAACACATCCCTTGATGAATGCACTAAATGGTAAAGACACTTCATGGTAACGGCAATTGCAATATGCACTGGTAATGCAATGAACAACAATTAATAGACAAAACGAAATTCTTAAACCTGAAAGAGAGAAAATGTGTTTATTCAAAATTTAATTTCATTTTCACATAACACTCTCTTTTTTCTTTTCTTTTCTTCCATAGATAATTTAAACCGTAACGATAACATCATTAGTAAATAGTAACTGGTTTACTTCTGTTAATAATACAATACAATAATAATGATAATGATTATAACAATAATAATGATTATAACAATAATAATGATTATAACAATAATAATGATTATAACAATAATAATGATTATAACAATAATAATGATTATAACAATAATAATGATAATAGCAATAACCATATTATTATTATTATTATTATCATTATTATTATTATTATAATCATCATTATATTAGCAATAAATATAATAATAATGGTTATAATGGTGATGATTATGGTAATGATGATAATAATGATAATGATACTAATAGTGATAATAATAATGATAATAAAATAATGATAATAACGATGATGATAGTAATGATAATAAAAATGATAATGATAATGATAATAACAATGATGATAATATTAATGATAATAATAATAATAAAGATGATGATGATAATAATAACAATAATAATAATAATAATGATAATAATAATAATGACAATGATAATAATAATGATAATGATAATGATAATAATAACAATAATGATAATGATAATAACAGTGATAATAATGACAATAATAACAATGATAATAATAATAACAATGATAATAATAGCAATGATAATGATAATAGTGATAATGATAAAAATAATAATGATAATGATAATAATGTTAATGATGATAATAAAAATAATAATGATAATACTGATGATAATATTAATAATGATGATATTGATAATAATAATAATGATAGCAATGATACTACTACTAATAATAATGATAATGATAATGATAATAATGATGACAATAATAATAATAATGATAATGATAATAATAATTATATTAATAATAATAATAATATTAATAATAATAATAATATTAATAATAATAATAATATTAATAATAATAATAATATTAATAATAATAATAATGTTAATAATAATAATAATGTTAATAATAATAATATTAATAATGATAATAATAATAATAATAATAATAATAATAATGATAATAATAATATTCATAATAATAATAATAATAATAATGATAATAATAATAATAATGATAATAATAATAATAATGATGATGATAATAATAATAATTATAATAATGATAATAATAATAACAATAATGATAATAAAATAATAATGATTATAATAAAAATGATAATGGTAATGATAATTATAGTGACCATGTATAATATTAATAATAATAATAATAATAGTAATAATGATCGTAACTAAAAATAGTTATAATAATGATAACAATGATAATAATAATGGCATTGATCAAAATAATAATAAATATAATGATAACAATAATAATAATGATGATTATAAAAAATAATGATTACAACAATAATAATTATAATAACATTAACAATAATAGTAGTAATAGTTGTAATATTAAGAGAAATGATATTATAAAAAAACGACAACATTAGAAAAAAATATTATTGTTTTTATAAGTGATAATTCTAATAATAATAATGATAACGGTTATACTACTAATACTAATCCTAATAACGGTTATTTGCATTGTTATTATCGTTACTTGTATCACTTTATAATCAACAGCAGCACCACTATATTCATAATTACTATCATAATAATATTGTTATCCTTACTTTTAATAACGGCATTGCTATTGTATTTTCAAAACCCTAACATCAATAACTTATAATAAATTGTATATTAATATATAATTCCTAGGAAACGATTATGCGAATATTGTTGTTACTATCATAGTTCTTACTAAACTAAGATTATCATAAATAGCATTTCTGTTGTCGCTTCATACTTGTGTTATATTATTCTTTCTATTCATGCCAGCCTCAAAAAAAAATAAAAATTATTACCAACGTCGAATGATTATAAACATGATAAATGCAGATAAGAACTCGCACTTTGGTATAAATATTTATAATGACAAATAAATACTTAAGATTATATAGAAAAACAAGCTATGTCAATATCATATAAAGAAACGGAATTAAAGATGTAGGTTTAGTAGAAGTGATAAAAGACATTGATTTACCATAACAGCTGGCAATGGTGGTGTTCATTTTATTTTGCCCATTTTGGTGGGAATAAAAAAATCTGAGTACATAGGACACTTTCAACAATAATGGTAATTATTTATATTCAATTTTACTGTTAGCATATTATTACTATATTTATCATTATTATTTATTATCATAATAGTACTATATTTATTATTGTTATTTATTATCATTATGTATCATAATCATCAATATTATTATTTATTATAATTATTATTATTGTTGTTATTGTAGTTGTTTGTTGCTATTCTTGTAGTACCTGATACTGTCATTCTTAATGTCTACATCCTACTTCATAATTTAGAGTTATGACTGATAAATATCAAAATAAGACTTTGGTGAAAAAATATTATCGGTGGTAGCATTGAAGTTAGTATTCGCTGCAGTTATTGCATTTTTTGTAACATTACTCAAACAGAAATTGTTTTACCATTACTTATTACATATTTTAAACACAATATCTTATTCTGCTATTAGCGATCTTCAGAAAATTCATTTCAAGTAACTGATTGAAAATGGCTATTAAACCTGGGCATTAATGCGATATTATGTTGCAAGTAATTTCGTTTGTATAAATTTTATCGTTATCAATTTGATACTACCACGTTCAGTACGACTGTACCTTATTTTTGTTAATATCGTGAGCTATGTACGTTATAGCAACTGTTCAAATAATAAACTGGTGCACTAACAATTTCAGTTTTCGCTGACTCGGTCACTACAAGCGTAATTACTACCCCTGCCGTTAGAGTAGCACGCAGAATGAAGATCGTACCACAATTTTATGAATGGAGTTCGATAAACACATCGTCGAAAATTCGTAAAAATTGTTTCTCGTCCAAACAAGAGTCATCCCAGCCCAATAGCGAGCAAGAAAGTGGTAATGCCGAGAAGGAAATATTGACCAAACTTTATTTCGTGAGGCCGAGCGAGCCACAGTCCTGCCACAGAGCATCCGCCACAATGTGAAGGTGACGCTGGCAAGTGCTTTCAAACGACCGCGCTCCCGCCTCACCAACAGGTTCGAGGACTGGGTGCGCGCGCAGCTCTCGCTCCTCCCTCTGATAAGCTCCGCCCATTTACAACCCCCTGCTGTTTGATGTACGATGCTCAACTTTATGCTTTTTATATTATTACTTGACGATATACGCCTGTAGTTTACTCGTTATTTTTTGTAATTATATACAAGATGAATTTGGTACATGCAACTTACAAAGTTCCTTATAGCCTGAAAGTGTACAAGAAATTAGTAGGTGCCGAGTCGCTGGTAACTCCACTACTCCCACAACTGACTCGCACTGTTGTTGTCGTTATTGTCGATTTTGGAGACCTTGATACCTTACATAGAAGTTTTCATCTATGTCATACGTGTTATTGCGATGGGAAATCTTTGTCATAAATTGATTTAATTCCACCAAATTAGAATCAAAACAATTACTGAATAACACAGAGAAGGTTTATTATAACAGTGTAACAGAGCGAAGTACCGAAAGCTCTTAGCAAAGTAAGCAGTTATTTCAACACACCCAGTATTGATAAAAACACAGAAATACAGTTATTATGTTTAGTATAATTTTGTTGTACTCTTTTGACGAAGACTAAAGAGATACTAAGAACAGTAGGTCATAAAGTTATCATATCTATTGATTTCCCCCGTTTAAATCGGGACGGATACAAAGTTGATAAGAAATATCTTTAATTCATTTGCTCTACTGGCTATATTTAATACCTTATATATAAAATGTAATAATTACTCTTCGTATTGCTAAATAAATATATATATATCTATATTCACACATACACGCATACATGTACATTCCTGTGTAGTGATAGACAGATAAATAAATTTAGTCGTATTCACATACAGATAAACGGTTAGCTTAAAGGATATATTCGTTATGAAATGTGTTTATTGAGAGAGAAAGGGATAACATAATCTTTCATGCCTTGATGAAATAAAGTTCGGTTATATTGCTTTATAATAAATTAATTAGGTTATTTGGGTTTATCAGAGAGATGTGACTAACTTTATCAATTGCATGTGCCTTTCCCCGTCTGCGTTGTTGCACTCTCCGCTGCAGGAGGACAACTGAGTAGTTCGGCATCTCACGTAACACTGAGCATCTTTCACTGTGTTAGGTGATATCGCCTGCTCTGTTGGAAGTGTTTAATTTGTTATACAATTTTTATGCTAGTATCTTGGGTCGTTATCTTCAATGACATATGCATTTCCAAAAGGCGGATATAACGTTAAATATTGACATTATTTGTTTTGATGTAAGTGCTCGAATAATTACAATAAAATAGATTATAATTGACCAGTTAGAGCGAGCTTCCGGCAATACGGAAAGTAGGCGTGGTAAGCGAGGCGATGCTGACCAATGGCAGCGCAGTACAACCTCCCCTACCTGAGGCGCTCTTCGTCTCCCCTCAGTCATGTAGGAGCTGCGAGTTTGATAGCACGCACTTTTTCGCGCTCCACATCTGAAACTCAAGGTGCTACCTACTTAGTCACTAACTTTACGTATACTTCAGTTAAGTGTAGATTTCATTTGGAAGTCTTTATTACTGCAGTGAATCGAAAAAACTGATACAATCTGGATATAATTCGTGGACCACAGGATTTTTATTTTGTCGTTATAACGGAGACGCTCCTGTGGCTGTGTTCAAAAAGTGTTGAATATATTTTCGAGTGTTGATACAACGTCGCTACAACGAACCCTCCTGAAACAACGGAGACAACGCGAATTCGGATCGTTTGGAATATCCAGCCCCAACCCATTGGAATACCCAGAACTTTCCCTGAGCACAGTGACCTGCCGAGCCTCTCTTCTTCACTGCCAAATTATCACCCGCACCACACTTGCTTGACCCTAGGTGACCGCGGATCGTATTTCCGGGTCAGTGCCACGGAGACTAGTGCACGACCAAGTCCTGCAGAACCTGACTCGGAAGCCCCGGGCGTTCGGGAACCCGCGTGGCCCTGCTGACCAGTGGTGCCTCAGGTCACACACGGTGACAGCTCTTCCGGTGTGACTTATAAAACCAGGAGAGCTCGTGGATCGTGAGAATAGTGGAGTGGATAAGGTTGTACAAGTGTAGTGGCATGTGGACGTAGAGGTGACGCGCCCCTTGCCTCCACCGCGCGCCTGCGACACCATGGCAGGAGTGACCACTATGTACGCGCCATCCTACACAGATTCCATCAAACTCTGGAACTTCGCAGGTGTCTTCAACTACCTCTGTAAGTTTTGCTTTAAAAATCAGTTTTTAGTTTAATCGTAGAAATCAGTTTTACCAGATTGATCTTCCGTAGCTCTAGAAAAATCTAACCGTTTCCTAGGTAAGATTAGTATTTCGCTAAAGGGGAAAAATATTTCGCTTTGTCGTATAGCTAAAGTTGTGTTGTTTAATTTCCTTATAGAGAAACCAGTATGTAATCAAGGGATTTGTGAACATTCGTAAATATAACCGTATATTTTTCAAAATATTTGTCAGTTCGTATTTTTGGCTATTTGTCCATCCCAACCCGAAATTTCTAGATACAAATAGGATCCCAGGATTCGCTAGGATGTCGGCTAGAGAGCATGTAAAGCGCTCGTATAGTTATTGACGGAAAGTCTCAGGGGCAAACGCGCCCGGTTTAGCGGCCAAGCCGTGCTTCACTACTATGTCGCCTCCCTCCCCGCCCTATGTCAGCCCCAGACACGAGGTCCCTTTGCTTTGACTCCCCTAGAATGTTGTCCAATTACACTGCTTTCCTCTCGTCTACGTATCGGGAACCATAAAGCTGTCGTCGTGAAGTGAGAGTTACCTAGGGAGTGGGGGATGGAGGTTTAACCAGCATCAAACCTGGCCAGGGAGAGACATACACATGGCTAGATGCTCTTGTTGATGCTAACGGAAACATATTATCCACTGTCTTTCATGATAAGCTGAAGGTTAAGGAGTCACGACCTTATAGCCAAGATAAAAAGAAGATGCCCCAAGACAGATGACATTTAGTTTGTTATTTTACACTTTTATTTAGATATAACAATAGGATTACGAATATTATGTCGAAGGAGATTGTTCTCCTTGTTTTAAAATCTTTCAGAATTAGAAGTATAAGCTTATATCGCTGCCCAATGTGAAGATTGAGTTGCTCTTATGTCCATCTTGGACTCACTCTCGTCGGTCGAGAAGTCAGGTTTGCCTTTTACTTTTTAGTTAATATATCGTGCTTTGGTACGTGCTATGGACGAAATTTATATATTGCATTGTGTGATTACACATGAGGAAGAAGCGTATTAATAGATATTTTGAATTAAGGCATGCAGTCGTGCGTTGTGGACGTTCGTTGAAATAGCTCTGTAGCAACCACCTGCAGGAGTATACGTTGTTTATATAAGAAGAATTATCACACATTTCCCGGACAAGGCTACGTTCTGAGATGTTGTTGTTCTTTTTGAGCCGCATTTTTTCTCGCGAGGAGCCCTTTTCTCAGCGGAAGACGTTTTTGCCGCGCCGCTTTTGCTGGGAAGTGCTGGCTGGCCCTCGCATTACCTCGTGGCGTATTCGGGGAGCATCGGGAGCTTCGTGATGTTTATAGACGAAACTTTCGGTCCATATCAAGCTGATGTGTCCCAACATTAACGTGACGAAGCGGCAAGCTGTGAAGCGCGGCTGATTATGTTAATCGAGCATTGATTCTGTCCACGCTTGTCACCACCGCTGGCTGACGCGGCCGCAGGGAGAGAAGGCACCAAACCCGCGCCTCGACTCTGTCCTTCATGGGGGAAAGTTAGGCGTGACTTGCCTCTAAATCGGTCAAGTAGGATGAAATGACTCGATGAGGCGACTCGCTTCGTGTACTCCTCGTGTAGTTGGTACTGAGCGGCGTGAGTTAGACTGAGGAGCACGGCAAGGTTAGGCGTTGTAGAGAGGAAGCCAAGGGGGCCGGGGGGGCTGTCAGGAGCTGGCCGGAGGACTTTGTTGAAGTTATAGTAGTCGTAGGTCATAGTTAGCGTAAAGTGACAAGGCATCGGCTCTAATGACATGTGAAAAAGCCCCCGCAGTCCAAGACGGGTTGGAAAAGGCGCGGATCATCATAATATCTCTCGAGTCGTGGGATGAGCCTGAGGCTGTCACGAGCGGCTCCCACGAAGGTAAACTTTCACGAATTAGATATCGCATCGCCGCTGAGGCTAATAAACAACAATGGAATAATCAGGCATAACCACTTTCTTCGCTCCAAGGCCTTGTCTCTACTATATAAAATCTTATTGCAACTGTATTGATATCGTAGATGAGATGGAAATCCCGGAGCGGACGGGGAGGGGGGGGGGTGCAGATGATGGGATTAGGGGGGGAGGGGTCATCCACAGGAGGGGAGGATTTGCTTGGCTCCGCGTACTGTGTCTATCCAATAATGTGTTCGTAGTACTGCCTGCGAATCTTGTCTCCCGAACGATTAGTAGCGGCAAGGAATCGAAAAGTGAATCACGTTTGAGAAGTCATTAGAAGACGCGGTTGAGGCCCGGGTTTCGTAAATATATAGTATCGCATTTTCCAACCTGTGTCTCTCTCCCACCTTTAGACGAAATACAAGGCAGAACTCCCAAACAAACAGCACGGGATGGTGCCCCGCTCCCCCCCCTCCTCCCCTCCACCCCCTCAGTGCCATCGTTTTGGGGGTCGCGCTGTGTCCCCGTATCATCAGCGTGTCCTTTGTCCCGAGGTTTGCGTTGGGCATTTGAAATTCAGAGTTCCCCTCGGCGTCGGCGGGCAGCTGCACGTGTGCCATTATCGCCCCCGCTCCCCTCGGACGATCCTCGCGCAGTGTTGCCAATGACCCGCCTCGTGGAACCCCTCTTCAACCGTCACAAACATTCATTACGGCGATTAATATTACCGCCACGAGCTCGCTTTACACAACGGCTAGGTTTTGCATTTAGATTATGTCGAGCAGCGTGAGTCGAACAACAGAGCAGCGCATTTCTTCCGTTTTGGGGAAAACGCGAGGCATCTTTATGCATTAGCGAAAAAAGAGCGCCATTTTGGCATCACTTCCTCCTACCTTCCCACACCACCCCTTTAGAGTGGCTGGCTTCCCCTCTCCTGATCCAAGCTTTTATTTGCGATCGCCAGATGGCTAATTTCGGTTGACATTTGATAGGATTTTTTACCGATTGATGCTCCTCCGCTAGATTTTAGCCACATTTGTCCTCGTTTTTGTGTTTACACAGTGCGTCACCGCCGCTACTCCCCCCCCAAGAACCCCTCCTCCGGTCCCCCCTCTTCTTCCTCTCGGCAGCCGTTTAGCCTATTATCTCCCCCCCCCCCCGCGATCTCAGCCCCCCGCCTCGACCCCTTTCGATTGGCCCTTTCTTCTCGGTATCGATCTCCAGGTCAGGGTCAGCGTCAGCACGGGCGGGGGCGGCGGAGGGGGGGAGGGAGTGGGGGGTGATGCTTAGGTCAGCTTGAGGGGCGGCTGGATAGGGGGAGGGGGGGGGCGTGAGGGGTCATAGCTCTCAGTGATTCCCGGCGAACGATAAATATAAGGGGAGAGAGAGAGAGGGAGGCGGGGCGGGAGGGACCGACACGAGTTACGCCAAGCATGCTCGAGTCTTGCGCTCACCTTCCCGCGGAGGACCGCCAGAGATGGAAGAGAAAAAACCAAAGGAAGAAAGGTGGAGAAAAAAAAAGAGAGAAGGACAACAACAACAACGCAAATCAGAGATCGGGGACGGAGAGACAGCGGAGGTACTTGGCGGGCGAACGTGTAATGGAAAGATTTCCTGGCTCTGGCGCAGAGAGGGGATGCGGCGAGAGGAACAAAGGTGATGCTGGGAGGCTGTCAGGCAGGTGGCGAAGGAAGGGTGACGGAGAGGGAAACAGTGTATGAAGGAGGGGAAGATAAGGGGATACGCGGTGGAGGGAGAGACGAAGAGGGGAAGGAAGGAGGCGTGGGGAATGAAGGAACCGAGAATCGGGAGAAGGAGGAGGAGGAGGAGGAGGGGGGTGGGGGAGGCAGCGCGTGGGGAAAATGGGAGAAAGGAGGTAGTCTGTGCGGAGTGGAAATGAAGGGGAATCGAGAAGATAGACGACGAGGAAAAGGAAAGGAAGCATGGCGGGGCTTGGTAGGGAGGGTAGGGAGGGGGGGGCCCCATGAACACGAATGCGCTCGACAGTTGATGGACCGGAAAAGATTAGCGCTCCTCCGTGGCAACAAACCGCAAGTCACGATGTGTTTTATGGACAGAATTATGTTAACGAAGGCAGCGCCGTCCTTTTGGCTCGGCGAGAATTTCTTTAGGGCAAAAGCGGCGTGTCATAGTATAATAATGCGTGCGGGCGGCCTCTAATGCCCAGGTGAGCGGCGGGCGGCACGTAGCGCTCGTGTGAGGCTCACCTGGGCCGCGGCTCCGTCATGGTATCCTCGCACGTGTCACTCTTCTCATTCTCCTCATATCTCACCTCCCTCTTTCTCTTCTCTCTTTCTCCTCCCTTGTCTCGATCTCGCTCTCACTCTTTTCTCTCCTCGCTCAATTTCCCTCACTTATCTCGTCTCTCTTCATGCTCTCGCTTCCTAGTATTCAAACACTATCCTCTCTTCCACTCCTTTCCTCTCATCTCCTCATCTCCACATCTTCTCTCTCATCTCCTTCTCTATCATTTCCTTCTCTCTTCTCTCCTTCTCTCTCTCCTCACACACGTCCATGAAGCCGCTGTTTTTTCTCCATCCAGCCTGGCGCACCTCCTTGCCCATGTGCTGATGCTGCATGCTGCGGGGAAGCGAGGGGAGATTTTCCCTCAATGGTGGCCCTTTGTTGTACGTACGTGTGTGTGCGTGTACGTACATGCGTCATCACTACTCTTTTTTTTTTCCTTTTTTTTCTTTTTTTTTCTTTTCTTTGTTTTATTATCTTGCGCGTTTATTCTTGCCATTTCTACTTTGTAATTTCGTTTTTTTTTCTCTTTACCTTCTAGCAGCTGAGAACAACGGAAGTGACACAGGTGTAAGCCCACAAACACCAACAGACGAAGCCGCCACGCCCACCAACGCCCCCATCAGTCCGCCCACATCCAGTCTCACGCCCAATTCTGAAGCCGCCCTGGGTGATGACTCTGACTATTTGACCGGCGCTAACGTGGTAAGGATCGCTTTTGTGAAATGTTGGGGTGAAATATAGCATTTCTGCTTGTATGAAATAATATCTTGATTTATTGGTCAATGATTTAGCACATTTATTCGATATATTTATATACAATTATATATTGATGTATTTATAAACCAACTTGTGCATACACAATACAATACAGACTTTTATTCGTATTACATACCTACGCAGACATAAAACACCCGCTTTACCATCCCACTTAAACAAACAAACAAACATGCATGCGTAGAGCCCTCTCCAAGACGTCTTTCCCCATCCGCGTGAGCCTCCCCCCCCTCCCACCACCACTCCGCCCCTCCCCCATTCCGCCCCACCCCTCCTCCCTTTCCCTCTCCCTCTCCCTGCAGGATATTGATTGATAGCTTGGTCGGGCGGGAGGCGAGGGCGGGTGGGTGGTGTGGGCGGGGGTGTGGGTTCACGTGCAATCATTTTGTTACGATACTACAATCAGGGACAGATAATATTATCCGCTTCTGTGGGTACAGGGTCGAGGCAGCCCTTCACTGGATAGAGGTGGAAGGGAACAGGGAAGGTAGGAGATTATAGTGTGCCTAATTTCACACACACACACACACACATCTCCACATACACAGAGAAACGGTCCACCCAATTTCTCTATGTATACCTACTCACAGCGCCCATCCCACCGTACTTACCTCACCCCCCCTTCTCCCCCACAGTCGTGTTCTGTGTGCCACAAGAAGTTCGCCAACATCCACCGCCTCCAAAGACACATGATTTCGCACCAGGAGTCAGATGTTCTCCGGAGGTTCAAGTGCGATGAGTGTGGGAAGGCCTTTAAGTTCAAGCACCACCTCAAGGTACGTGTGCACGTGCGTGCGTGTGTGTGTTTAGCGTCCTTCTGCTTTTTTAAATGTATTTTGTTTTTCTCTTCCCTCTGTGTGTCGTGCTCTCTCTCTCTCTCTCTCTCTCTCTCTCTCTCTCTCTCTCTCTCTCTCTCTCTCTCTATATATATATATATATATATATATATATATATATATTCTCTCCTCTCCTTTCTTTCCCATTTGCCTCCTCGTGCTTGGTTTCAACCCTTCGTACTCGTGCTTCATTTTTTTTCCCCCGATGATATAATTAGCTATTTTTATAAAATATATCCTGTCTATAAATAACAGATACAAGCTGCAGGTAGAAAGTAAAAAAAAAAAAGATAAACCGTGTAGAAATCAGAAAATACTGTCTGTAGAATGTGGCGCCCGAGGAACAGTGCTCACTATCTCGCCGTATCATGAGGAACTGGCGCTGATAACCCAGGTAAACCGGAAGACTTACCTATATCCTCTAGAATATCTCAATGTCAGCTTCTATATACCTGCCCCCCGTCCCCTCCCCTCCCTTTCCCTCACCCGCCTATCTCCCTCTCTCGCACTCCTCTCTTTCTCCGACTTTTCTCCTCATTTTCTCTTTCCCTCCTCCCTTCCTTCGCTACTCTAAAGAGGAGTAGCAACAGTAGTAACACATGTGGCGCGAGTGAGGAGAGGAGTGCGGTGCATGCCACCTTGGGCTTCCTTCCTGTGTATATTATCACTGGTTATCACGCCGCGTCCGCACTCACTTTCGGTCCCCACAGTGGCGCCGCGTCCCGACCCACACCTGCAGGAAAATGCACAAGTCGAAACACCGTGGCTTGCGGGACCGACGGAGTTCGATCACCTTCACATGAGTCCGTGGGAGTCTCAAAAATGTTGTAATTTAAGGGATTTGTGTCAATCTTTCCGTTTATTAACCTTTACTTTTCTTCTTCAGGAGCACAAGAGGATTCACAGTGGAGAAAAGCCCTTCGAGTGCGAGCACTGCGGCAAGCGGTTCTCCCACTCAGGCTCTTACTCCTCTCACATGTCCTCTAAGAAATGCCAGGTTCGTAGACCATGTTGCTTCCTGATGTTGATTTGCATATGTTCTTGTTGATCCTGTATAGTGGAAATATTTCATTGGTGTAATTTTGCGACCTGCCTGCATTTGCACATCTTCGAAACCACCTAATTCATCCTCTCCCCCCACCAGCTGGGACGTAGTAGGACCAACGGGGTCATGCCACGTCCGCCCCCACAGTTCCCTGGATCCAACAACAAGCGTCCAGCCCTCAACGGTTCCTACTTGCCCATCCTGCCGAAGGACAAGTCCCCGACCCCTTCTACTGACCTAGGGTACTCGTCTCCCACACGACCAATCTCCAGGGACTCCCTCCTCATGTCCCCTCCGTCGTTGGTGTCCCCTGGGAGCCTCAGCAGCTCCAGTATGACTCCGGTGCTTAACCAGGGCTTCCCCCAGTGCCTGTCTCAGGGGCTTCAGGGTAACCTCCACCAGGGACTCTCACCCTACCACCCGCTGAACCCCCTCATCCTGGCGGCTCAGCTCCACCCTCAGTATTCGTCCTTCCTGTCCCTGACCATGACGCAGGCGGCGCTCAACAAGGCCCAGCAGGAAGGAGGCGCAGAGGAGAAGGACCACAGCGAGGACGCCCCTCAGGAGGACGTCGACGACGAAGACCGAGAGCCCGGCGAACTAGTCATCAAGGAAGAAACGAAGGAGGAGGAGGAGGACAGGAGCCACCTCGAGAAGGAGCGCGGGAACGAGGAACGCGAGGAGGCGGCCAACAACAACGAGAAGGAGGGCATGTCCACCCTCAAGAAGATGCTAGAGAGCGTAAACACTACAGTCACAAAGCAGCAGTTCGAGGAGAAGGTGTCGTCCGCCACCCCAGGCTCCCTCTTGAGCAACTCGCCCATCACGGACGACCTGTCGTGCGAACTCTGCGGCATAGCTTTCAAGAGCTGCATCGACGCCTTGTACCACGCCCGCGGACAGTGCCCACGCCTGCCCGAGGTCAACGCCGCCACCGAGCACTACAAGGGGCGCATTATCGAAGGCTTAGCAGCACGCTTGTTAGCGGGGAACCAGCATCATCGGCATCTTCAGCAGAGTCACTACCCGATGCACCCAGCCCAGTCCCTGTACCCGCACAGCCGCGGCGGCCATGGCAGGGAGGAGGAGGCGGAGGGCGACTCCAGCCACGTTGTCGACGACGAAGAGACAACCAGCGACGGCAAGAAGGTCCGCGTCCGTTCTCACATTCGCGAGGAGCAGCTGGTCGTCCTGCGCGCCCATTATGCAGTCAACCCGCGCCCCAAGAAGGAAGAGCTGATTACAATCGCAGAGAAGATCAACTTCCCCGTGCGCGTCGTACAGGTGTGGTTCCAGAACGCCCGCGCCCGCGACAGGCGTGAAGGCCGCTCCATCACCCCCACGCCCACCTCCTATTCGCAGCCCAGTTACAGCACCAGTTACTCGACGCCTAGTTACACCACATCAAGCTACACCTCCACGAGTTACGCTCCCACGAGTTACGTCGCCCCTACCTCCCAGGCCAACAGCAAATCCATCAGCATCAGCCCCTACTACCCGTCCTTGCTGGCACCGAGTCTAGTGTACCCGCTGAACGGTCGCGCCTCGCCCACCCCCGGGGACGGCGCCGACGACCTCGACGACGACCAGCCGCTCGACCTCTCCACCAAGAAGTCGTCCCCCTCGGCGTCGCCCAAGCCAGCCTCCGTCTTCTCGGACTCCGACGCAGACTCGACGTCTCTGGCCATCTCGTACAAGTCGGAGTCCCGCACGCCCACGCCCAATTCCCTTAACAATAATATCGCCGATTCGAAGGAGTCGAGCGGCCTCAGCGTGGCGGGATATCCCTCCCTCATCTCGGAGCAGCACAGCAAGCTGGCCCAGATCCTCCAGGGGGCGAAGCTCGGCTTGCCGGCGCTGTACCCCGACCACCTGGAGAACAGCGAGAAGCGACCAAGGGTGAGTGTGAGAAAATGAACATTTCCTCCTGCTTTTACTTCTTACTTGCATCTTAATTATGCCGCGTTTTGTAGTTGAATAAAATTACTCATGATCTGCTTCTTGCATTGTAGGAAGATGATGACTGTGACGACGAAGCTCGCAAGCGGCGACGCGACGAGGAGGGCGGAGTGTTTCAGTGCGACCAGTGTGACAAGTCCTTCAACAAGCAGTCGTCCCTCGCCCGGCACAAGTATGAACACTCAGGTAAGGTGAATGTCCGATTTACGTAAAAAGTTTTTTTCATGACATCTTCAAGCCATTGTTTCCAGGTTGATAACCCTTAAAAAACAAGACCATTAATTAAGTACTTTCTCCTTCAGGTAAACGCCCCTTCAAGTGTGACTTGTGCCCCAAAGCGTTCAAGCACAAGCATCATCTCACCGAACACAGCCGGCTACACACCGGCGAAAAACCTTTCCAGTGCGACAAGTGTCTGAAGCGGTTCTCACACTCAGGCTCCTACTCCCAACACAGGAATCACCGGTACTCGTACTGCAAACCCTACCGCCCCGACGGCGCCGCCCCGCACTCCGAGTCGTCCACCCCGGTCCCCTCGCCATCCGACAGTGGCGCCGGGGCCGTCGCTACATCGGAGGGCGTGTCGGTCATCGTCACAGCCTCCGCCGACTCCCTCCCCGCAGTCCGGGTCGCGACGCCCCTCAGCTCGCCCGCGGACGAGGCTTCGGTGGGGAGTCCCCCGGCCTCGCCCCCGGAGGCCCTCGAGGCCTCCGCCCCCTCAGTGAAAGAGGAGGTCGTGGCGTAGATCGCGGTGAAACTTTTAGCTAAGAAAGCAATTCAAATCAAGTGTCAAGTGAACCAATGTGATGCAAACAGTGTGCGACAACGAACAGAATTTATGAAAGTTTCCTCTAACACTGTAAATCAAAAGGTGACATGCAACGAGATGTCAGTGTCTATGATCAAAATGAGTGCTGAAAAAGTATTTGATGTTTTTGATGCTTGACATATTGCAAAGAGGATTTGCATGTTTGGTGTGCAATATGTCAAGTAATGTGCTCCTTACATTGCTAGAGTTACATGGACCTACTATGCAGTGTTTCTTTGTTATTTAAAAAAGGTTATAATTATATTTACTTTTGTATAGGATTAATGTAAATTCGCATGTGCCAATCACTTTTATCTTCACTTACGAAAACTCTCACAGGGGTCCTTATAGCTAGGGTCCTTTATATTTAGGATCCCTCTGAAATGTGGGTATGGGACAGCTAAATCTCTCATGTCTCTCTTTCTCTCTTTCGTATAGTTCCGTAGTCGTGTTATGATAGTAGGTGTTGATTCAAGGCGGGTAAGGCCCTTCCACCTTAAGCCAGTACCTGTCAAAATACTCAAGTAAAGAGAATACTGAATTATGCGATGTTTCAGTGCCACATGGAGAAGCAGTGTTGCCAGATTATATATATGTATGTAAAGCTTCATGTGCATTTTTTTATTGTTTCGAGAATATTATGAAGGAATTATCGTTATATTATTTGAATTACATGTTTATTGGCAGTTTGCCAAAGACAAAAAAAATGGAGGTTTCCTGTAATGAATTTAGTCCAGTTACACTCGGAATGGGGGTACAACTGTAAGAGCACCATTGGCAACACTGCGGTGTAGAATACGAGCAGGTTCTCCAATGATAAATCCACTGTCTTCCATAAATGTACTAGGAACCATACACTCTTGCCCAGGTCGCTAGTGCTAGTGGATTCCCCGTGCCTCGTGCCGTCAACTTCCCACGTGAACCAGACCAGCTAGTGCGACCCCCCAGTGCTGTCTTGGCCTGACGCAGAGCCCCTGTTTCTCGCTGTGTCACTTCAAGATGTACTCACACACGACAGGTTCGCAGTGGCTGGTCTCGTCACCTCACTAGTCCAAAGTAATCTCAACATGTGCAATCTCTCTATTTTCTAGATTTCCAAGGCATGCCATGTAGTCCTCTGATTTTCTTCGACATTTCTCGAGAATTCTTTTGTGCCATCTTACTTCGGATGTTCATGTACTGGCAGCATGATGCCGTGCCATGGCTGCCTACTACATCGATAGTCATATTGCTAGTCTAAGTAGGTTTCTGTTGTCCCATACTTGGCACTCATTGTCACCTCCGTCTATGTGAGCTTCTAAGAGCTAATTTCTTCCTCGTACTTTCTTCAAATGCCAAACGAAATGCCAGTTTAACTTGGTTGTAAGCAACGATTGTGCCAAAATGATTACTGGAGATTTCTAATAGGATCTTGTTAGAGATGTGGATAACATTTAGAATTTTATTTTTATCAAGTATACATATGCAAATTTATTTTGTATAGAGACCGTACTTCACCACAATAGTGTACCAGAGTGCTTCCATATCACCCTACGCCAGGTCCATGGCTACTTCCTTGAGCCGGGCCCGTGGCAACAACCTTGATTTGGCCCGTGGCTTTTCCCCTGAGGAAGCCGATGGTATTTCCCAGAGCCAGGCCTAAGGCTGCTTCCTTGAGCCGGGTCCGAGGCCGCTTTCCCGAGCCGGGCTTAAGGCTATACACAGAGTAACGTCCATGATAGGTGACTAACTGGCAGCGTCGACCAAAGGCTCCCAGTCAAAGTCTTTCACCTCTTTAATTCCTCCTTAGATTCCGGCAAGGGCGCTGTGGGAGGGCCCCACACAGGAGACCTCAGACTGCCGTCTTTCACATAGAGTTAGGGGCCCTCTCGTGGTGCCCGGACCATCTGAAGATCATCCCTCTGTCATGTGACCTTTTACTGGCCAATAGCATTCCTCTTT